CCTCTTATATTTCCCAGTAGTTTCCTATGCTCTAAACCTCTTAAACCCACAAAAATCTTAAAGCTACAAGTTTTAAATACTCAGTCATGCTTAATTGGTTAGACAGTGGCTGCACTGCTATTTGTATTGGAAAACCCATTTTAAATACTTTTGTCTTCATACTGTGAAAAATATCCTACCTGGATACATGTTTCAATGTAACTTATTTATCACTAGTAAAATAATAATTGTGCCAAATAAATGATATTAACTATTGTCAAATGACCTGGGCCCACTTCTGCAATCCCATAGAGAAAGCTGATATGCGCCCATCCAGAAAAAGCTGTCAGGCATTTGTATGGCGACATTGTTCGCTGTTGTTATCCCTTTATCCGAACCATTATCAAAAAACAATTGACAGAAGTGAACAGAAATGAGAAAATCCTTTTTTTTGTGGTTTTCCCACACAGGCCAGTATATAGCATCCTATTTCAGATAAAGGAAAATTATTTTGAATTTTCTAAAACTTAATCAGCATTCATATGATAAAATTCTTCTTGACTGAGTTAGATTGGGCTGGATGCAAAAATGTTTGACTCTTGTTCTCCATGCATGTACCTCGCTGCACTGGGTCCATACATCATGACCTTGAGCAAAATATTTTCCTGTCTGGCCCCACTTGGTCAATAAGGTACATATTAATTTGAGTAAATATTAATCCAGGGTATATAGCCTCTTTCATCAAAGATATTTGTGATATCCATTGGAAGAAATAACTCCCTTGTTGCTGGCCTCATCATCTGAAATTGAAAAAGAGAATGTGAAAATTTTTGACCATATTAACATAGTAATGTGGTTAATGAATTCCTGATCAAATGGTGCAGTTCACAATACAGATAAGACTTGAGACTGATGTGATTACAAGGTACAACTTGCAAAGTAGACTGACTAGCACAGCTCCAGAACTTATCCCTTTTTCTGAAGCATTAAGAAACAAGGAGTCACTACTGGTCCATTTCAGGTCCCCCCCCCCCTTCCCTAGATTTCCCCAGCAGTTGGCTGACATCCATCTACACTACTAGGGGAGGGGGGGGGGAGAGAAAGGTCAGTGTGTCTCACCCTGGAACAACAATAATACCAGGACTCTGATCCAGACCTTTCGATCTGAACCCAAACATGGTTAACATTAACTAAAGCCATGTTCTCACCACAAGAAGCAGCCAAACACTAAAACTGAATAAGCCAGTAGCAGGATACAGACTTCTTCAGATACCAAAAACACCATACTGTACTTACGAGGAGCAATAGGATCAAAGGATGGTGGTAACTGAATTGCATGTTGAACAAGCTTGTGCGTCAAGATATGATCATTTACTCCATACCTGAAAAAAAAAAAAAAAAATTAAATAAATGAATAACGAGGGAGAAACTATTAACATCAGGGATTGTGATGGATCTCCCATAACAGAGAAGTTGACTCGTTAAAGAAAAATTTTTTGGGACGATTGGGATATAATACCTTCAAAACTTGTCATCACCTTGTAGGAAGAACTAATAACTTACAGCACAGCGATGTGGTTATTTGACAGGAATGTGATTGCCAATAGTCCATTTTACAGCAGTCATGTGCTTGGATGCCAAGCCTTTGAATAAGAGTGGGGATAAGGGTGACCTTGTTATGATACAAACATTGCTGCTTTTCAAAGGTAAATTACTTTGTTATTGTGCCAACTAGACACTGATCTCTATTGCCACAAGGTCACCTTCAGCTTCACTCCAAATCAAAGGCTTAGCGATTAAGTACACAACTATAAAATGGCCTATACTAGATAAGTTTATCTATCACAGTTTTTCTCTAGTGAGGTACCATCCAATCTCAAAAATATGCTAGAATCAGGAAAATGTTTAAGAACCTGTTATTAGTCATTCAAGTGCTTTCCACCCAGGTAAATGGTAATTATAATCCTGAATATCAAAGCTATCTTAAAAGCTCAGTTTGTAGACCACTACAAGGTCATGGGTTCAAATCCCATACAGGCCTGAATTTTTTTCAGAACTTATTTTCACTGCTCAAGTAGTGTTCATTCCTGCAAAAATTGCTTTAATATTCAAAATATTAATATTTGATGAGAATAACTTTAATATTCATTCTTTAACTCACAGTTCACATCTATGATTTTCACATATTCACAGTCAATTACAATCTGAGCCAATGCATCTGAAAGAACCTATTTGTACAACACTGATAATTGTTGTGGGACAATACTTTACCAGAATACAGTCCACATTCCATTTGTCCAACTACCATCAGACCTGATGAAATACCTGACATGAATAACACCAGAAAAAAATTAAATTCAGATTATTAGCATGTATGCCAAGGTAGTGAACATACACCACATACAACCGCCTCCTGGTTAGCTCAATGGATAGAGCGCTGGACTGTTGTGCGGGAGGTCGAGGGTTCGAGCCCCGGCCGGACCAACACTCAGGGTCTTAAAATAATTGAGAAGAATTTGCTGCCTTTCTATAACATCAAGAAATGGTTAGATATTCTAGTCTTCTCGGATAGGGACGAATAAATGGAGGTCCCGTCTCCTGCAGGGTTGGGGTAGGAGACGTTAATTTCCCACACACGAGATTACTGTGTGATGGATGTCCTCCCCTGGGGTGGGATGGGTGGGTTTATTGGGCCCGCAGTAATTGGCGCAAGCTGTTGCGGTGTCCCTGCCGGTTGGCGAAGCTAAATAAACTAATAAATAAATAAACAAGCTCGACATCTATGTCTATGTCAAGTAAGATTTACATGTTACTCTGCACATTCTTTACTTTCTGGAAAACGCATAAATCGAAAAATTACCAAGGATTAATGCGATTTGTTCCTCTAGATCTCCAAAATAGGCTGCTAAAATCCTGCTTTATTTTCTTCCACAAGTTGTCACTTGTTCCAAGACCCTATTTGTAGCAAAAGCACATGTTCATTACTATCATAATTTTTGTGATTGCCTGGTAATTAAATGATAATTAGAGACAAATAGAGCTAATATTGATACGAATGTGTGAGCTTAATATATCTCAAGTATTTACAACCCTCAATCTTAACCAAAGTTTGCAACTTACAATAAATTATACCTGACTGTTTCTGCCAACAGTAAATTTATCCATGTATGGAATGTCATCAAGGCCATTTTCCAGGGTAATCACTGCTGCTGTACTGTAACTGTAATGGAATAAGGGACATTGTTTGTTTTAATAACCAAATCCAAAATGTTTGAACTGATAGAAAAGATCAGCCAAAATAATTGGGAAAATTAGTCTTGAAGATCTTTGTGTGAGCCAAGTACTCACCTCTCTGTGACATACAAGGTGTGAAGGCGATTTTCTAAGGACGAGAAGTATTCTGGAGTCAGAGGTTTATCAAATGATCTGAAAATAAGAAAAACAAATAAATTTTTTTGACCCTTTACATCATAAGATTGGAAAGCATATTCTCCATTCTGGTCTCTATATGTTTCCCTTACAACCAGCACTAGAACCAGGGCCACCTTGACAGCAATACACCACTGAACAAACATACATAAACAGCATCCTATGAATTCATGCCCAGTCTCTTTTAAATGCCATGTTTTACTTACTTAACTAGAAGATCCTTGAGCCTGTCAGTATCAACAGTCTCCAGTGAATGATGTTTGACAATTTTTTCTGCTCTCAGAAACATAGTACCAGAACCTGAGAGAATACAAAGAGTTATACAATATAGTGGAATGGTACATTATATCACCAACATGTAAATTAAAGAGGTAACAGTGCTCCAAGCTTCAAACAAATTTGACTACCATGGCAACTATAAAAGAATGTTGGTACTTAATTTTCTGCACAATTTTGACAATTTGGTTATCAGTGTTCAGTCATCCATGTGGCAAGATATAGCACTTTTGTACCTTACATTTTTATTGCCAGAAATCAAAGTGAGATTAAAATTTAAAATTTAGATAAAAAGCATTCAAATGTTTTTCCAAGACATACCATTGTGAGTGAATAATTCAGTGATCAAAGAGTCAGCACTAGTGATAACAGCAGATGAATCCATAGGTAAAGTATTCAGCAGTTTTGCAATTGAAACCACCTAGCAAAGTGAGAAGAAATGGTTACAAAATCTGAGCTTTGTGATATTTAAACATGCAAACCTCCCTAATGAAATCTAATTGTTCAAGAAAACAATCAGCATTTACCATGATGGTGATTGATACATCGTTTTTCAGCTTAACCATTCAAAGGTATTCTTAATTCTACAGTGACTATCTAGACCACTTATGATAACTAATATTTTATCAGGCATTAAAAACAAAAGCAATTTGGCCACACTTAGTTACTCCTATAGCGGTAAAAAAAGACATTAAAGTGTTTTACTTAAAAATCTTGGCCTGATTGTTCAAAGGATGGATAACTTTATTCAACCAATAAATCCCTATCCAGCAGATAAGTGCTAACAAAATGTACTGTGTATGATGCACAATCCTCGCAGTAGATAGCGCTATTTATGCAATAGCGAAAATCAGACCTGACAAAAATCAGGCCTGTACGGGACTCGAACCACTGACCTCTGCGATACTAGTGCAGCGCTCTACCAATTGAGCTAACAAGCCAACTGGGAGCAGGCCGTTAAGTTGATTCGTAATAAACCCGTGAAAGTGATAAATGAGATACATTGAATATAAGAAGTTCTTATATTCATTGTATCTCATTTATCACTTTCACGGGTTTATTACGAATCAACTTAACGGCCTGCTCCCAGTTGGCTTGTTAGCTCAATTGGTAGAGCGCTGCACTAGTATCGCAGAGGTCAGTGGTTCGAGTCCCGTACAGGCCTGATTTTTTTCAGGTCTGATTTTCGCTATTGCATAAATAGCGCTATCTACTGCGAGGATCGTGCATCATACGTATCTAATACCGCAGTTCAAAATATATGAACTTCATATATTCATTGTATCTCATTTATCACTTTCACGGGTTTATTACGAATCAACTTAACGGCCTGCTCCCAGTTGGCTTGTTAGCTCAATTGGTAGAGCGCTGCACTAGTATCGCAGAGGTCAGTGGTTCGAGTCCCGTACAGGCCTGATTTTTTTCAGGTCTGATTTTCGCTATTGCATAAATAGCGCTATCTACTGCGAGGATCGTGCATCATACGTATCTAATACCGCAGTTCAAAATATATGAACTTCATATATTCATTGTATCTCATTTATCACTTTCACGGGTTTATTACGAATCAACTTAACGGCCTGCTCCCAGTTGGCTTGTTAGCTCAATTGGTAGAGCGCTGCACTAGTATCGCAGAGGTCAGTGGTTCGAGTCCCGTACAGGCCTGATTTTTTTCAGGTCTGATTTTCGCTATTGCATAAATAGCGCTATCTACTGCGAGGATCGTGCATCATACGTATCTAATACCGCAGTTCAAAATATATGAACTTCATATATTTATTCTATCTCATTACAAGTATTATGTTTACATACTGGTTTTACATTTAACCTATTTTGTTCATCCTACAAACAGTGACGAAACGGCTGCTTAAAAACTAAATGGAGATGATATGAAATAATTACTTTTCGAAAATGCTGATTTTTTCGCTTTTCAGAAGAGCTGAATGTTGTTTTCGAGGCCCTTTGAATAAGAAATTCATACAGTACTAATTGGTCGACTTTGCTACCATGGGAATGTGCTGTACTTCTTAAAAATTATTTTTATAATGCTATTTAACACGGTGGTGTTCTCGAAAAAC